ATAAAAAAATACTAAAATTTTAAAGGTTGAAAGCTAATAGAATTATGGAAGTCCCTGTACTTCTGGGATTTGTTTATTACTGGCTTTGTACTAAAAAGTTGTTCATCTTCAGGAAAATCTCCCCTTTCATCTTTTGACCCTTTCTATAGTTTTCATTCAGATCCTCAACTGCTCAATCTCATGCAAAAAAAGTCCAGATTTTTATTTCAAAAGCAGTTTTTTAATAATCCTCATTATATTATATAACATTAATTTAAGGTCAGAAAAGATTTAAAATACTCTTAATAAATTATGGATACTTAAAAGACATAAAAAAATATCTTGATATTTTTAATATCAACAATCATATAAAATATGTAGAATATAATATGGATCAATTTATTAAGATGGTTAACTATATGTTAGTGAATTAGAGTAAACTCACCTCATATTCACACAGCTTCAGTGGTTGGTACCCAATAACATGACACTTGACTAGGTTTTGAATCTTATTAAAGCTCCCTTGCACTCCAAATTCCCCTTAGTTCAATATATATATATATATCTCAAAGTTCACCATTACTTTGTTTGATGATTTATTATTAAGATTTTGTACAAATAAAGATCTTTTAAAACTTATCTAAATCTAAACCCCTAGCCATGGAATTTAGCGCTTTATTTGTTTGCTATGCTACTACATTGGACACTTATTGCTTCCACTTCCTTTACCAGTCAGTGTATGGATCATGGCTAGATTGATTATGGCATCAATATGAGTACATTCACACTTTAAACAAACCTTGTCATTTTCTTTAAAATAGAAAAACATAATAAAGTTGTTGAATATTGTCTTAGGTTTCAACATCAATTACTTCAAGGAACATTTTTATATGACTGTTTCATGAAATTTTCATGTTTAATTAATAACAAGGCTATACGTATTAGAATGTTTTCCATATTGCATGCATGATGCATGTAACAAGGAGGAAATGACTTTTCATTAACAATCACCTAAAATTGTCATGAGTAAAACACACCCCATCCCATACAACAAGAAACTTGCCCCTTCAATTTAAAAGAACCAATTAACCTTTGGGAGGGTTCACATACCTCTCAAATAATCAAACTTCAAATAGTGTGAACACAAGAGTACACATATCCTTCTTCATCCACTAATTCCAAGTTTTCGTTCATGGCTTTTTCCCAATTTTTTCTTGGAGTGGTGGTAGCTTCACTCCTATGGTTTGTTCTATTACTGTATACTACATTGAAGGCAAAGGCAAGAGCTCCCTCTTCCTCAGAAGCCACAGATTGTAATAAAATCATCATCGTTGGAGCTGGTGTCGCTGGTGCTGCTCTTGCTTATGCTCTTGGAAAGGTCTTTTCCATTCCATCATTTTTATTCTAATGTCTATTACCTCCAGAGTGCACTTTGCATCCAGATTGTGAGGGAAATTTCCTAAAAAAGAGCAGTGATAGGGGCACTCGCCTCCTGCACTCTCCAACTGATACCTCTTTTTTTATTGGGTCACGTCACCTTCCTTCTAAGACAATAAAGGGAATCGGTTGGAAGAGACATTTATCTCTTAAAAACGAAGGGATGAAGCCCAATAAAAGGAAAGGTCTCGATGGAGACTGTAAGAGGCAAGTACCCCTAACAGACTAGCACTGCTCTCTTAAAAAATGGGATATTGACTCTCGTTACTCTCCTAAATAGTTTCACAAGTTTAAGGACTCGTACTTACCATGTGTCTCAAAAAAATTACTACTATAATTGCCGTTTTTGGTCCCCAACGTCTCTGACAGGGGACATTATAACTCCTAACATTCATTCTGGAACCATTTTGCTTCTCAAACTTAGTCCCAAACGGAAATCTGATGTGACAATGACCGGGCTTGCTTAATTGAAATCTGATGTGACATTGATCAGGCTTGCTAATTGCAGGATGGACGACGAGTTCATGTGATTGAGAGAGATTTGGACGAGCCCAAAAGAATTGTGGGTGAAGTTCTACAGCCAGGGGGATATCTCAAGTTAATTGAGTTGGGTCTTGAAGGTATGCAAGAAATTTAACAGGTTTTAGTGTAAAGACCAAAACTTTGTGGTTAAAGAATGCAACTTGTTATGTTCTTGATTAATCACTAAAACTTTCCATTGCAGATTGCGTAAATAAGATTGATGCTCAGAAACTTTTTGGATATGTCTTCTACAAGGATGGAAAATGTACCAAGGTTTCTTATCCGCTGGAAAAGTTTGATTCTGATGTAGCAGGGAGAGGCTTTCACAATGGACGTTTCATTCAAAGGATGAGGGAGAAAGCTGCATCTCTTCCTAAGTACGTATTTTCTTCTAATTTTATAATTGCTGGAATATCTAAGCTATCCATCAAGTTTGGGTTCTTATTAGAAAATTCAGAAATGGGTAATCTTTTACAGAGCTTTTATGCATAGTCTAGCCTTTAAAATTGTGCAGTGTAAGACTTGATTTTATAGACATGCTATCCATCAAGTTTGGGTTTTTGTAAGAAAGTTCATAAATTTGGTAATCTTTTTAGGGGCTTCAATTCACAGTATGGTGCTTAAATATGTGCAGTGTAAAGCTTGAACAAGGAACAGTGAGATCTCTACTTAAACAAAAGGGGATTGTAAAGGGAGTGCAATACAAAAATAAGAGAGGTCAAGAGCGGACAGCTTATGCTCCCTTAACTATAGTATGTGATGGTGCTTTCTCAAATCTGCGTCGTTCTCTATGCAGACCTAAGGTGAAGATGCTTAGCCAACTTTTTGGTTAAAATATAATATTTGTGCCAATAATGCCTTTAATCATGTATGGTATAAATGATATCGAGGTTTATCAATTGGTTTTGCAGATTGATATCCCTTCTTATGCTGTTGGTTTGGTTCTTGAGAACTGCGAGCTTCCATTAGCGAACCATGGGTTATTTGTTATGTCAGATCCTTCACCTATCGCATTTTATCCCATTAGCAGCACTGAGATTCGTTGCCTAGTTGACATACCTGGCCAAAAAGTACCTTCTGTTTCCAATGGTGAAATGTCCCAGTACCTGAAGACTATGGTGGCTCCCCAGGTAACTCTAGGTTGCTTTTCATGATTTATTTGCATCTCTTATTTGATTTTGACTATGGTGCAAAAATTGCCTCTGTTGGGAGTTCACTATTAACTCAAAAGAAAACTATCCCCCCTACCTAGAAGGGTTCTGTTTTTGTTAAAACACAAAGGCATTCCTCTTTGAATCAAACAAAAATCATTTTATTCTAGCTTCTGGAGAATGCCTATTTCTATGTACAAGTATTGATGCTTGTGTTTCTTTTTTTTTTTTGTTGCTCTACTTCACATGGGAATTTGAACAAGACACATTTTATGTATTTTGCTGATTCTGGGAAGCAATCAAATGACTAATGCATTTCAGATCTCTACTGAGTTGCGTGCTGCTTTCATCACTGCAATTGATAAAGGCAATATAAGAACCATGCAAAATAGAAGCATTCCCACTGCACCCAACCCCACCCCCGGAGCATTGTTGATGGGTGATGCACTCAATATGCGGCATAATTCAACTGCAGGAGGAATGACTGTGGCGCTGTCTGACAGTGTTGTACTAAGGGATCTTCTAAGACCTCTTGGAGATCTGAATAATGCATCTGCTCTTTGCAAATATCTTGAATCTTTTTATATTCTGCGTAAGGTAAGCTATGGACATCTATGTCTCCCAAATAAATTGGTATTTCATGTTCAGTGTTATGTCCAAAGAGCTTCACAGATCATGGGATTCATGTACTTAGAAATTGTAGTATGTCCTATGTAATTGGCCATGGAAGTGTGAATGTGAAATAAAGAATGAGTATATAGTGATTGGTTGCACCAGAAACTGTAGAACTTTCACTCACCTGATGGTTATGTCGTTGCCTGCAGCCTTTGGCATCTGTGGTGAATGGAGGGGCATCTATCCTATACACCGTGTATACTGCACTACCTGATCCTGTGGGGAAGGAATTACGACAAATAGTTTTCGACTATTTAAACCGTGGAGGCAGGGTTATAGATGGACCAGTGGCTGCACTTGCCTGTCTGAATCCCCACCCATGGATTTTGCTGCTTTATTTCTTTCCTTTTGCATTTTATGTTTTTTTGCGATTGTTGCTTCCATTTCCTTCACCAAAACGTTTGTGGAATGCAGCTAGATTGGTTTTGGTATGTATATCAGTATGTGTGTGTATTAGACAAGCCTTATCATTTTCTTTATTCATCACATTGGATGCTCCTTTTGGTATCCAAGTTAATTGAGGAAATATAATCCGCTTACTCTTCTGTTTCAATTTTCAGGCTGCAATAGTCATCATTTTCCCCATTATCAAGTCTGAAGGAGTAAGACAGACGTTATTTCCTGTAACCATCCCAGCATATTACCGGGCTTCCCGTCTTATGAGGACTCAAAATACAATAAGAGACGTGTAAAATGAGTGGCAAGTAAAGTTCATTTCATTTGCCAAATTTAAGAAATCAAAATATTTTTGTTATTTATTATTAGTCCTTCATATATATTATGCTAGTAATTTTCATTAATTATTTTATTTCTGTAAGATCTCAGCCTCTAACGTTGGATCTTATTCTTGTATAATCTATCACTGAAGGAAAGTCAGACCGCCATATACTTGTACTTGCCATTTCCCTGGAAATTCTCTGTGCCGCTGTTGCCTATGGTGTAACATCCTTGCTCATTGCTCTACGGAGTTGGAAGATGATTAGTGTGAAGCATGCCAAGGCCAAGATCAGGAGACACCAAATGTTTGCTCAGATATGCAATTTATTTAGTGTTCAGTCAAAACTATTTTAATTCATGAACTCGATTGTATTATTATTTGTGTATCAATTTCCTTGTCATACAATACAATACAATACAATTCCCCCAGCAGATTATTAATTAGAAGTTGCATCTGCTTCTTTTTTCTTCTCAAAGTAAATGCGATTCCTCTGGAAATCCAGGACTGCCCAGACCAAATGCCATAAACCAATCTCCAGCCGAAGCACAGCTGTGGAACCCAACTGGCTGCTAAAATTCTGCCATGGCAGAAAATTGCTCAGGCGGTTCTCCCCTGCTGTGCGAATCAGAATATCAGGAACAGGTGCAATGGCCATGTACATATGTATTTCGACGTCCATCAAGTTTAACTTCACATCCTTGGCCTGATCTTCTATTTGGTTGCACTTTTCTTCGCAAGATTCTCTAACAGTATGAACAATCTCATCAGTGGAAGTGTAAGCAACACAGAAAGTGACCACAACCTTGGAATAACCAGCAGTCACCTCCATCAGCCTCTTGGCTGCATCCCTGAGAGATGGATCCAATAGTTCCAAGTTACCAGCAATGTGAACTGTCACCTGTTTTTGATGCACAAAGCTCTCATTTTCTTTGAGGAGTTTGATCTTCTCCATCATCAGATCCATAAGCTTCTGAACTTCCTCCGGTTTCCTTCTGAAATTATCAATACTAAAAGCATAAACAGTGAGATATTTCACTCCAAGATCATGGCAGTAGAGAAGCATGAACATTAGGGCCTGAAATCCAACACCGTGCCCAACCCCTTCTGGCATATTTCTCTTCTTTGCAAATCTTCGATTCACGTCCATAATAAAAGCAACGTGATTCGGGATCGGACCGACTCTCAGAACATTAAAGATGCATTGTGCAATGTATCTTCTTCCTCCTAAGGTAATACTGTTTTCATTCTCCATATGATCAATTCAACTCGAATAGTCTATCTTCACTATTAAGATGAAAATCTTTAATCAAATTAAAGTGCTTATAAATAAGTTTAAAAAGAGCTAAAGTGTTTATAAGTAACATAAAAATATAATCTCGTTAAACTGAAACTAGGAACATGCATGGTTGACTTTACTTAATCATGAACATTTTCGACAAAAAAATTTACATTTCTCATGCATCAATCAGGTCATAAAAACTAGTTGATTCTAAAAAAAGTGCAGGGGATAATGCATAGTGTTAACCTGAATGGCTTTGCCGACAAAAACTTGAATGATACCAGAAACGCCCTATGCACAGATGCCTCTAAGCATATTTTCTTGGGGGTTGCTTATTGAAATACACTATCCTTTATATTGAAGACAACTGAGTCATTTTCATGTTTTAAAGGCATTCAACGATAGTATTTGTTGTTTAAAAGATAAAATAGGAATAAAAATCAACCAATTTCTTTAAAATTTGTTTAGCCCATGTCCTAGTATAAAGGTTAAAGTGTACGTAATAAGGAATTAGATCAATTAATTTAGAAAAAATTTTTTTTTTTGGATACATATGATAATGATAACTTATACAAAAGAAGATAACCCTCCTTTTTTCCTAGATAGCTTCTCATTCAAATCAAGGTTTAAACTTGAGATATCTAACTTGTAGTCTTAAGTTTTTAATCATTGAATCATCTCTTTGAAGGTATTAATTTAGAAATTTCTTACGTGAAATGAAAATAAGTACCAAGTGTATACTGCAAATTATAATAATTAAGTATGTACACAATCTAAAAGAAAAAATTTAGAAAAAAACCTGTCTTTCCCATTGTTATGGGACTTCAACCTTCAATTTTTTTTAGTTGATATGATACTTCATTGGTAACTAATATAGAATCATTAATAAATTTAGGTGTAGATTACAATGGCTATTTTTATTTTTCAAAATAGAAAATCATTAATAAAATTAGGTTTGGAGATAGTACCTATCAACTACCTTGACTTTAATTAGAAAAATTAGAGTCCCAATTTCAAAAATACCACACTCTAATTAATATTCTCAAAGAGCAAGAAAACAACTACAAAATAGTCAATCGCCCTAATTGTACAACATAACAAGAACAAAATATTCAATGGCTCTAATTGAATACTTAAAAAACCCTGATTGGTTGGAGTGCAATTTTATTTTTTATTTTTTAAATAAAACATTCAATGGGATAGCACTCCTCTTCCTCAAATACCAAACTTAAACAATCACTAAACATGACGAGCTTACTCCAACAATTATAAGGACTGCATGTTAAGTATAGATAACTAGAATTTGTTGGTGTGGTTGCTGGTATTTTGCTAAAAAAGAACAAGAAGAAATGGAGATAAGGCTGGCTTGCTGCTAGGAGCTCAGTTTCTAGTATTTTCCTCACTCGATTTCTTTCATAATTGATTACATATATGGATTACAAAATTAGGCAATCTAGTGCCAACAACAGATTTGTTCTAACAACTCCACGTAATCCATCAAACACCTTACACACACAAATTATCTAGAGACATGGTTCCTTAACTAAAGGAACTAAACTAACAAAAAGGATAACCAAGCACTAACTTAGAGTTATGTTGCAAATGCCATTTTATGGTGAGCACTAACACTCCTCCTTGGCATTTTCATTTGTAACTCCAAGGATTTTTCTGAGTTCTTCAAAACTATAAGCTGTTAATCTTTGTTTGAACCATGCACATACAAGATTGGTTCTTTGATGCTCCTCCTGAATCCCTATTGTCTCAAGTAGGCATGTATCCTACTTTACATGGCTCTTGGTGCTTGTTTTGAGCTATAAATATCCTCCTGCTTTACATGAACCCCCACTTTTGATTTTGCTGCTTCTTCAAAGCTTGAAGGTTCTGTCATAGCTATATTACACTTTTCATAAATCTCAGACAAGGATTTGGTTTTGAGGATAGGAGAATCATCATCTACTTCAACAATTTTTGAACTTGAACCATGAGCTATAGAGTCAATTGTCGTGTCTTGGTCTTATTGAGAAACTAAATTACTCTCAACTTTTTCTGTTTCCCAATTCCAAATAGCTTATTCATCAAACTTGACATCTCTATGCACGTTAATCTTTTTAGTTTGGATGTCATAAATTCTGTATCCCTTTGATTGAGTTGCATAGCCAACAAAAATCCCAATATTGGCCTTTTGATCCAATTTTGCTCTTTTGACACTTGGAATATGTGTATAACAAACTGAACCAAAAATTTTTAAGATGATTTGCAAAAGGTTTTAAACCATACCAGGCTTCTATGGGAGTTTTTTCTTTGATTGCCTAGTAGGAAGACCATTGAGAAGATAAACAGTTGTATAAGCAGCTTTTGCCCAAAATGACTTTGGCAAATTCTTCTCTAACAGCATGCATCTGGCCATTTCCAGCATTGTTTTGTTCTTTATCTCTGACACTCCATTCTACTTTGGAGTATAACTGACAGTTTGTTGATGTTCAATGCTAGCATCTTCACAAAACTTGCTAAATTCTGCGAAAGTGTACTCTTTGCCATTATCTTATCTTAGCCTTTTGATTTTACATCCACTTTGGTTTTCCGCCAAAGCCTTGAACTTTTTGAAAACACTAAAAACCTAAGCTTTATTAGTGAGGAGATAAACCCAAGTCATCCTTGTAAAATCATCAATGAACAAAATAAAATATCTATTTTGGCTGAGTGAACTAATCCTCATGGGACTACAAATGTTAGTGTGCACCAATTCTAGCTTCTTAGAAGCCCTCTGGGCCTTGTTAACAAAAAATGGCAATTTATGCAACTTGCCATGTTGACAGCACTGACACACATCCTCGCTAACATGCAAATCAACTAAGTCTCTAACTAAATCATGTGTTTGCATGTATTTGAGAGTTCTAACATTAAAATGCCCATATCTTTTGTTCCATAAAAGACCATCCTCAAGCTTTGTCATGTATGCACATTGCTACACTCTATCCCAATGTAGTGGAAAAGAATTATCAACCATTTTTACATTTGCCATTTCAACTCCATGTGAATCAAATATAATGCAATAGCCATGCTTGAATGACAATGAATAGCCCTTATTCATCATTTGAGTAACAAATAACAAATTGTGGCTTCAGCTAAGAATGTAGAGAACATTAGAGATTTGCTTGGTACTTGTCAGTGTTTGAATTGAAACTGTTCACTTGCTTTGTGATTGCACAATTGTACCATTTCCTAGCTTCACATTGATTCTCACATTTTTATCCAAATCGTTAAACAAAGTTGTGTCCTTTGCCATATGACTAGTGCAACCACTATCAATAAATTAGGATCTTAATGAAGATGAAGTAGCATTTTGCATTGCCATGAACAGATGATCTTGTTGATGCTACTCATCTATGTAATTAGCTTGTTGAGGTTATTTTACTTGGTACTACGTTTGCTTGGCTCTATAATTCCTTTCAATATGACCAATTTTTTTTTTGTAAAATCTACACTGTATCTATTGCTTCCTTTTAAACCAACAGTTTTTCTATTCATGATTTTTCTTTTTGCAATGAGAGTAGGGGGGGAAACTCCCTCTTTTATATGGCTGGTCTGATTGATATTGTTGAGGCTGATTTTCAATTGATTTTCCTTTATTATTTCTATCAAGAAAAGGCTTGCTATCCGACGTAGTAGCTCTTTGCCTTACTTGGAAAGCACCTCCTGTTGTTGCACCATCACCTTTCATTTTCAATCTTTGTTCATGAGCTTTTAATTTACTAATAAGTTCAAAAATAGTAAGTGTTTCTAAGTCACAAGTTTCTTCTATGGTTGAAATCTTGGACTCAAACTTGTCGATAACACTAACCATGATCTTCTCAGCAATTCTTTTGTGAGGAATGTCACCACCATTTGTTTTTATTTGATTCACCAAATCAGTAAGTTTGGTTGAATACTAGTGAACAGTTTCATCTTTAGCCATTTTCAGCATCTCAAATTGCCTCTTTAGTGTGACAACATTTTTACCTTTAACCCTTGTGTGCCCTTCAAACTCATTCTTCGGAATTTTCCATGCCATTTGCACTATTTCTACAGTCATGAGTCTTGGAAAAATTGAATCTATTACACCACTATGGATGTAGGAAAGTGCTTTGTAGGCTTTTTACACATACTCTGAGTGATTCTTTAATTGAGCTACTGTAGGATTATTAGGCAACACTAGAGGATTAAACCCATTTTCTATTGAATCCCAAACACCATTACCTCTCAAAAAAGTTTTGATCTTGATTGCCTAGATGCTGTAGTTTTCTCCCATAAACAAAGGTGGATTAGAGAGTGAACCAGTTGTGGGATTACTAGTAGACATAGCTATGGGTCTGTTGGTCCTATCTTTTCTCCCTCACAAACTCTTGTGTTTACTCTTTCTCACTTCTCTTGTTTTTTTCTCTTCAACAGGTCCCTCAGGAAAAAAGGGCTCCGATACCAATTGTTGGTGTGGTTGTTGGTATTTTGCAGAAAAAGAACAAGAAGAAATGGAGATGAAGGCTAGCTCACTGCTAGGAGCTCAGTTTCTAGTTTTTTCCTTACTTGTATTTCTCTCATAATTGATTACATATATAGATTACAAAATCAGGCAATCTGGTGCCAATAGTAGATTTGTTCTAACAACTCCACCTAATCCATCAAACACCTTACATGTATAAAATATCTAGAGACATGGTTCCTTAAGTAAAGGAGCTAAACTAACAAAAAGGATAACCAAGTGCTAACTTAGAGTTACATTGCAAATGTCATTTTACGGTGAGCACTAACAAAAGTTACATTTGCTTCTTTTTCTTCTCCAAGTAAATGTGATTTCTCTGGAAATCCAAGACTGCCCATACCAAATGCCAAAAACCAGTCTTCGGCCAAAGTGTAGTCGTGGAAACCAACTAGCTGCTACAACTCTGCCATAGTAGAAAATTGCTCAGGCGACTCTCCCCTGACATCCGAATCACAATATCAGGATCCAGTGTAATAGCCATGTACATAGGTTTTTCAATGTCAACCAAATCTAAACTCACATCCTTGGTTTGATCTTCTATTGGATTGCATTTTTCTTCATAAGATTCTCGAACAGCATGAACAATTTCATTGCTGGAAGTGTAAGCAATACAGATGGTGAGCACAACCTTAGAGTAACCAGTAGTCACCTTTATCAGCCTCTTAGTTGCATCCATGAGAGGTGGATTCAAGAGTTCTAGGTCACCCGCAATGTGTATTCTCACCTTTTTTTTTATGCACAAAGCTCTCATCTTCAGCGAGGAGTTTCATTTTCTCCTTTGTCAAATCCATGAGCTTTTGAACTTCCTTCGGTTTTCTTTTGATATTGTTGGATTTTTAGGGGTAAGAAGAGTGGGTTGAGAGAGAGGAGTTGAAAGAGGAGAGACACCCACAGTTCCCTCCTTTGGTGAGGTTAAAATCCATTTTCTTCCATTGATATTCTGCTATTTATAGGAAACAACACAACATAACATAGAACACAAGGTCATAAACATGGAAGGGTGCAGACATTCACCCAAAGGGAGGGGAGAAACCATGCCTTCTCTCTCTCTCTCTCTCTCTCTCTCTCTCTCTCTCTCTCTCTCTCTCTCTCTCTCTCAATTTTAATTCAATTTCTTCCTTCCTTTTTCTAGAGGAAGGCTACACATAAAATAATAATATTTTCTAGTTAATACAATAATTATACACCACCTTAAACCATTGACTAAAATAATGAAGTTTGTTGCCATTTCTTATAGCCCATATAAAGCTCCATGCTGCTGTCACTTTGCTACTATTGGGTACTAATGTTGCAGTATCATTTAGTAGATCTCATTTCACTGTGTTTTTAGCTTTCATGCCATAGCTCCAATAGAAATTATCAATACTGAATGCATAAGCAGTAACGTATTTCACTCCAAGATCCATGCAGAAGATAATCATGGATTTGAAGGTCTGAAGTCCAACTTTCTAACCAACCCCTTCTGCCTTATTTCTCTTGTTTGTAAATCTTCGATTCCCGTCCATTATGAAAGCAATGTGATTTGGGATTGGACCAATTCTCAGAACATTAGAGATGCATTTTGCTATGAATCTTCTTCCATATCAATTCAACGTAAATGATCTATCTATTCATGTGGTTGCTGGTATTTTGCAAAAAAAAGAACAAGAAGAAATGGAGATGAAGATTGGCTCACTACTACTCGCTCAAGTTTTGGTTTTTCCTGTCTAATATTTCATTCATAACTGGTTGCATATATCATATTACAAAATCAACGCAATCTAGTGCCAACTACTGTACATATTGAAGCAAAAGGACAACAAGAACATCTATTTCCTTAACAAAGAGGATTGTTGGACAACAAATTAACATTTGTCTCCTTAACAAATGCCTTAATACATTGAATCAAAGGAGAAGATTGACAGATGGCAAAAATTGTGCAAATTGATTCATGGAGTATGTGTTCAAACACAACTGTATAAACATTGATTTACTCGAATATTAATCTTCTGTATTCATGTCTTATTTCTCTCACACTTTCCCTTTCCACTTTGTAATTTGTATAATCTTTCCTTATTTCTTCAATTTATACATTTATCAATTGTAAAAATTTCTCACAAATAATACATAAGCAAGAGTATTATTCTCATGTGTTGATTTTTTTTTTTTCACAAAGAAATAGAGAGAAAATCAAGAGAAAGATGAAAAGTAGAACATAAACTAAAATGGAGAAGAGTATAACACTCTAACTTAGATTTCTCATTAACAAACTCTATTTTATATAGCAAAAAAACAATCTAAAAACAATTCAAAAAGTTTCTTATTTTGTCTAAGCAACTTTCCTACTCCAAAAAGCAACAATAAAAGTATATCTAAAACAAATAAAAGACAACACTTTTGTTGCATGCTTGTTGTGATTTTGCAGCCCTTCATTTCATTTGCATTTGCATTGCCTTTGCCTTTGCATTTGCATTTCATTTGCTGTTCATTGCAGCTTCATTTCATCAACATTTGCAACTTAGCTTGCTGCACATTTTTGTTGTCACTTGAGAGCTTCATTTCTATCATATTTGCTATTAGATTGCAGCTTCATTTGCTGTCAATTTTTGGCCTCATTATTGCCATTTCATGGCAGTTTCATTTCATCATTTTGTAGGTTAGAATGCCACATTTTTAATAATAATTCCAACATCATGAAATCTCCTCTCTCTTTTCTAATTGTACATTGCATGGTGTTTGATCTAACAACTCCACCTAATCCATCAAACATCATACATATGCAAAATATTTAAAGACATGGTTCCTTGATTAAAGCAACTATACTAACAAAAGAAGACAACCAAGCACTGACTTAGAGTTGCATTGCAATGCAATTTTACGTTTAAGCACTAACACTCCTCGGCATTTTCATTTGTAAGTCCAAGCTTTTTTGAGTTCTTTAAATTAAACTATAAGCTGTGAATCTTTGTTTGAATCTTGCACATACAGGATTGGTTCTATAATGCTCCTCTTGAACCCTTGCTGTGTCAAGAAGGCATCTATCGTACCATACCAAGCTCTTGTTGCCTGTTTTAAGCTATAAAGATCCTCCTACATTGCATGAACCCACATTTCTGATTTTGCTGCTTCTTCAAAGCTTGAAGGTTCTGTCACAGCCATATTGCACTTTTTATAAATCTCAGAGAGGAATTTGGTTTTGAGGATAGGAGAGTCATCACCTACTTCAGCGACCTTTAAGTTTTTAGTTGATATGGTACTTCACTGGTAATTAATATAGAATCATTAATAAAATTACGCGTAGATTACAAGGGCTATTTCTATTTTCAAAATAGAGAATCATTAATAAAATTAGGCATATGGATAGTACATATCCTATTAAAAGAGTTTCAATTTCAATGGCTATAATTGAGTACCTTCAGAACCATGATTGGTATGAGTGCAATTTTCATTTTTTTTAAAAATAAAAATAAAAATAAACATCCAATGGGATAGCACTCCCCTGCAATCAAATACCAAACTTAGACAATCACCAAACATGACAAGCTTACTCCAACAATTATAAGAACTGCATGCTAAGTACAAATAATTAGAAGTTACTTCTGCCTTTTTTTTTCCTTGATCCTGGGCTCTCATCTCTTAAATCTACTTCACGTAACATGTGACTTGAACTCAGAATCTCTTATTATCACTGAATTACTTAAATTATTGGTTATATTTGCTTCTTTTTCTTCCCCAGGTAAATGTGATTTCTCTGGAAATCCAGGACTGCACAGACCAAATGCCAAAAACCAATCTCCGGCCAAAGTGCAGCTGTGGAAACCAACTGGCTGCTACAACTCTGCCATAGCAGAAAATTGCTCAGGCGATTCTCCCCCGACGTCCGAATCACAATTTCAGGATCCGGCACAATAGCCATGTACATATGTTTTTCAATGTCCACCAAATCTAAACTCACATCCTTGGTTTGATCTTCTATTGAATTGCGTTTTTCTTCACAGGATTCTCGAACAGCATGAACAATCTCATTGCTGGAAGTGTAAGCAATACAGATAGTGAGCACAGCCTTAGAATAACCAGCGGTCACCTCCATCAGCCTCTTAGCTGCGTCCCTGAGTGGTGGATTCAAGAGTTCGAGGTTACCCGCAATGTGAATTCTCACCTGTTTTTGATGCACAAAACTCTCTCTTTCGGTGAGGTGTTTCATCTTCTCCATCATCAGATCCATAAGCTTCTGAACTTCCTCCGGTTTTCTTCTGAAATTATCAATACTGAACGCATAAGCAGTAACGCATTTCACTCCAAGTTCCAAGCAGAAGACAATCATGGATTTAAGGGTCTGAAATCCAACTTCATGACCAACCCCTTCTGCCATATTTCTCTTCTTTGCAAATCTTCGATTTCCATCCATTATGAAAGCAATATGATTCGGGATTGGACCGATTCTCAGAACATTAAAGATGCATTTTGCAATGAATCTTCTTCCTCGGAAAGTAATACTGTCTTCGTTCTCCATATGATCTATCAACATCATTAGGATGAAAAACCTCTTACTATGAATGTGACAAAGAATTAAATTCCAATTAAGGTGCAGGGGATTAAAAAAATGAACGCTAACCTGAGGACTTTGCCAACAAAACCTGGCCCTGAATGATGGACTAGAAACGGACGAATGCCTTTTGTTAGCACACGTCCTTAGTGATTGATGAACATTGGAATACTCTAGACCTTTTATGTTGAAGACAATTACATGCCAATTAAGGGCTGACAAGCTATCCATTTCTGCATCACTACTCAAATATATCCAACTTCAAGGAGGAGCCTAATATTGAACTTGTTTTTGGCTGGCATTTTCATTTTCTTGAGGCACTCAAAAAGATCTTACTAGGTTGGGAAGGGTTTTTTTACTTTTAGCTAATAAAAGAACTATTTTCCTCCGGTTTCTAAGCAAGAAAACATTAGTTAGAAGCAATTCCACGTTGTTCCTTGGTAGATACTTCTCTCATAATATATATATATATATAATAATCCTAAACCCCACATGGATAGGTTGTACAGAGAGAGGCAAAACACGATGCCAGTTGATGAAGAAACTCCAGTACATTAAATTACAGGCCAGTTTCTTATGAAAGTTCCAAAGTGAATGACTTTCGTGTGAAGAATTAGAAGAAGGAATTGATCAATTATCACATGATACAGGCAGATCCTTTATACGTTAGAGCAAGTGATTGGTCTTAATTAATTATATTCTGAGCGAAGACTTTCGCTTTCCATGCAAACTGAACATGAAAAAAAAAAGGGACAGCAAAGTGATTATATATGTGATAATTGTAAATTCCGAGACAATTTATCATGAAGTACTGCTTAATTGATGGCATCATTTTTTTTTTTTTTCTGAAAAAAAAGATTGCTAGTTAAAAGCTGCTCTAATTTAAAATTTTTGATTTGAGGTCAAAATTAAAAAGTTAAACTCCTTTAATATCAAGCATTAACTCCTAATGTAAAGAAAAGATAGAAACAGACAAGGGACAAAAGACTGAATGTTAAGTCCCAACAAACTTGAATTCTACTGGTGGGGAGGGAATTAAGAACACACATACAAATAACTAGAAGTTACATCTGTTTCTTTTTCTTCTCCAGATAAAGGTGATTCCTCTGGAAATTGAGGACTGCGCATACCAAATGCCATAAACCAAACTCCGACCAAAGTGCAGCCGTGGACACCAACTGGCTGTTACAACTCTGCCATAGAAGAAAATTGCTCAGGCGACTCTTCCCCAATGTCCGATCAAGATATCAGGATAAGGTGCAATGGTCATGTATATATGTTTTTCAATGTCCACTAAATTTAAACTCAGGTCCTTGGTTTGATCTTCTATTTCGTTGCAGTTCTCCTGACAAGATTCTTGAACAGCATGAACAATCTCATCAGGGGAAGTGTAAGCAAAACAGACAGTAAACACAGCTTTTGAATAACCTGCAGTCAGCTCCATCAGCCTCTTGGCTTCGTCCCTGAGAGATGGATTCAAGAGCTCCAGGTTACCAGCAATGTGAACTCTAACCTGTTTATGGTGCAGTAAGCTTTCATTTTCTTTGAGGAGTTGCATCTTCTCCATCATCAGATCCATGAGCTTCTGAACTTCCTCTGGTTTCCTTCGGAAATTATCAAAATATTTAAACGCATAGGCAGTAATGTGTTTCACTTCAAGATCGTAGCAGTAGAGAAGCATGAACTTAAGGGCCTGGAATCCAATTTCGTGATTAACCCCTTCCGCCATTTTTGTCTTCTTTGCAAATCTTTGATGCCCGTCCAGAATGAAAGCAATGTGATTCGGGATTGCACCGATTCTTAGAACACTAAAGATTCATTTTGCAATGAATCTTCTTCCTCTGACACTAATACTGTTTTTGTTCTCCATAGGATCTATCTACATCATTAGGATGAAAAACTTTAATATAAATGTGTGACAAAGAAATTGATTCCAATTGAGGCACGGGGTGCGCTAACCTGAAGACTTTGCCAACAAAAACTGGTTTTGAATGATACCAGAAACGCACAGATGCCTCTTGCTAGTCCATTTCCTTGGAGATGCATACTGAAATACACTAGACCATTTATAGTGAACACAAACACATGCCAATGAGGGCTGACAAACTGTCTAGCTATTTATTTCCGCATCACTACTCAAGCAAATTATGAGATCCCACGTCCAAACTTCATGGAGGTGCGTAATTAAACTTGTTTTTGGTTGGCATTTTCATCTTTTAAAGGTGCTCAAAAAGGTCTTACGAGTATATAAGCTGCCAAAAATATCTTATTAATTAAAAGACATTTAGACAATGTTAAGTGCTTATTTGTGGGGTTCTTTTATCCTCAAAAAATGTCATGAAAGTTTCATGTTAGTATATGTGGGCTACTGTGTTGGAAACGTGAGCTCTAGCTGTTCTGAGATTGGAACAAGATTCAGCTCCTGTTACAGTGGATGTAAGTGCGAAGTCCTCCTCAATTCTGACAGCACTTGGCAAGGGTTTTGACTTTTGGCTACTAATACTGGTAGAAGTATTTTCCTCCAATTCCTAAGCAACCAAACAATAGTTAGAAGTAATTTCCATGTTGTTTATTGGTAGATATATATATATTCCTGAACCACATAGATAGATTGTATAGAGGAGACAGGGCGTGAACAGAATATATATGATCGCAGCTGAAGAATTCCAGTACATTTAAAATACTAGTCAGTTTCATATGACGGTTCTGAACTGAATAACTTTTGCGTGAAGAATTGAACTAGGTATTCAATTCAACACATGATACAAGCAACCAAACATGAAAAAACAGACAGCAACGTGCTCATGTGATTACTTCCAAGAGGATTTATCATGAAGTACTGCTTACTCATCGGTATCATTTCCAGTTAAGAAAAAAGGTTGTTAGTTAAAAGATAAGTTTTAAATCCATTGTTGAGCTGTAGATGAGGATGTAAAAGAAAGTTGATGCCATATATAAATGCAGGGCTCAATGAAGAAGAAGAAGAAACTCAAGAGAAAACATGGCTCCTAAACCTGGAATTCTTTCTGAGTGGCCATGGAGGCCTCTTGGGAACTTCAAGGTTCATTCATTTATTTTCTCTCTGATTTTTTTCATATACAGAAATTGAATTCTAATAGGTTTGCATTGTTTTGTGCAGTACTTGCTTTTGGCTCCATTTGCGGTTCACAGCACATACTCTTTCATGACTAAAGGAAAAGAGGAGAGAGACCTCTTTGAATTTCTCATATTCCCATTTATGCTGTGGAGAGTGCTTCATAACCAGATGTGGATTTCTGTGTCTCGGTACATAACTGCAAAAGGAACTAAGAGGATTGTTGATAGGGGAATAAACTTTGAGCTTGTTGACTTTGAAAGCAACTGGTAATTTTCTATGCGAGTTAGCTGTTTGTGAAATTGCCTTGATGTATTAGTCTATGCATTCTCATGGTGGATGGTTGGCAGGGATGATGAGATTATGTTGAATGGGATTGCCTTCTATGTGTTGAATAAGATGATGCTATATTTTGGGGGATCTCCATTTCCCCTTTGGAGAAAAGGAGGAGTCATTGTCACAATTCTACTTCATATAGGCCCTCTTGAGTTCACTCACTATTGGTGGCACAGGTTAATGCACCTCCCCTATTTCTACACCCGTTACCACTACCATCACCATGCTTTCATTGCCAGTGAATCCAATAATGGTAAGCTAACTTAAAGCTTAAGCTTGCAGGCTGCAAGTCTGCAACATTGGATAATTTTCAGAGGACGGAGAAAAATAACACTAAATGTTAATCCTTTTAAGCATTCAAAAGTTATAGATACCATTTACTGATTTTAATGTAACACAATTGTTTCTTTGGAACTGGCAGCTTCTGTCACTGCATTCTTAGAGGTAGCTTCTTTCTATATGATCTTTGGAATACCTCTACTAGGAATGGTATTGACAGGAACAGGTTCCATCATAGTAATCTATGGTTATATAACTTTATTTGAATTCCTGAATGGAGCTGGACACTGCAACTTTGAGGTCACTCCAAAGTGGCTCTTCTCCAAATTCCACCCTTTCATGTTCACATCTTCGTAAGTTTCCCCTCTAGCATGACATTGTTTTGGTTGAGTTTTTAAAAGAGTGCAACCTAGCTTATTCTTCTTAGATAGGGATTTTGATGAATTAATTAAACTCAAATTATGCAACTTTATTTGCATCACAGGTTTCATGCTTTGCATCATACTCAGTTTTGGACAAATTACTCACTTTTCTTGCCCTTTTATGATTACATTTATGGCACATATGACAAGTCCTCAGATATTATTTATGAAACTTCAGACAAAAGACCAGAAGAGTCCCCTGATGTCGTGCATCTAACCCATTTGACCACAGCAGACTCCATCTACCATTTGCAGTTTGGGTTTCTTACATTGGCTGCTGAGCCCCAATCTTCTAAATGGTACCTGAAGGTTCTGTGGCCTTTGACATGCTTGTCTGTGATCTTCATTCGGATGTGTGGTCGTGCATTTATTTCAGAGAGGAACACCTTCAAGAAACTTAAATTACAATCTTGGGTGGTGCCAAGATACAATAAACAAGTAAAAAAATGTCCTTTACTTTTCTTTTATTCATTTTAGACTTGTTTGTTCTTTGTTGCTATAGCTTGTTATTTGATTTCTTTTCCTAGTACTTTTCGCAAAAGCAAAGAGGTGATATCAATAAGTTGATTGAAGATGCTATACTAGAAGCTGATAAGAAGGGAGCTAAGGCTTTCAGTTTAGGCCTTATGAATCAGGTACACTGATGTGAATCTATTTACAGTTTCCCATAAATAACCCAAATTTGAAAAACATCTCAATGGTCACTTATGCAGCAAGAAGATCTTAACAGAAATGGAGAGCTGTACATACAAAGGCACCCTCAACTTAAAGTTAAGGTTGTGGATGGTAGCAGTTTAGCAGCAGCTGTTGTTTTAAACAGCATTCCAGCAGAAACAACACAGGTAATTCTGAGAGGCAAACTTGACAAGGTTGCTTATGCAATAGCCTCAGCTTTATGCCAAAAGGGTATCCAGGTAATGCTCAATATATGCTGAAGCAGTACTTCTGTGCTGTGGTCCATTGATGATCTTTATACTTCCTGCAACAATGCAGCAAAACAACTTAATACTTTATTTTAAGCAGGTTGTCACATTGCGAGAGAATGAATTTGAGAAGTTAAAGCACATTTACAAGTCAAAAAGCAACGTGGTTCTTTCACATACTTTTGATCAAAAGGTGGAATATATGGCTTATAAACACCACTAAGACAGGGTTTTAACTTGGTAATGACCCACAAATATCAAATTTGCAGGTATGGCTGGTGGGAAATGGCCTGATTGAAAAGGAACAGCTGAAGGCATCAAAAGGGACAATATTCATTCCCTTTTCCCAATACCCACCAAAGGAAGTTCGCAAAGATTGTTACTACCATACTACACCATCCATGATGGCTCCTAAATCTTTCCAGAACTTGCATTCTTGTGAGGTTAGTATCATTCTTGTGAAGTTAGTATCATTCTTGTGAAGTCTTGCACAAAATAATTAACTTTATGTTTAGGGAATTCTGAAAGCTCTAAATGAAATAAATATGAACCAGAATTGGCTGCCAAGAAGGGCAATTAGCGCAAGTCGTGTAGCCGGAATTGTTCATGCTTTGGAAGGATGGGATGTTCATGATTGTGGCACCAACATGCTTGGCATCGACAAAGTTTGGGATGCAAGTCTTCAGCATGGTTTTCTCCCTTTGCCAATCCCTGTTTAATCAGAACCCAGGCTCCGTATGAATGTATGAACAGCTATTCTACAAGATCCCTGCAGTAAATTTGTTATGATGTCTTAAAAATTACTTTTTTCTGTGTATAAATTTATGAATTGTTATTACATCAGTATAACTGAAGTGTGTGTGTGTGTGTTTTTTTTTTCTTGCATTGGCTAATTTATTAAAAGTACTAAAAAAAAAAAAAAAAAAAAAAAACCCCATCATAGGAGAATATTACAAATGGCTGCTGCATTTCATTTCCATAGCATTTCCTGCATAGAGATTCAACGATTACTTATTCAAGGTCCTAAAACAATTAAAGGAAACAAAAATCTTGAAAGCAGCTTCTCCATGGAGATCCAAAGGTAAGGCCTAAGTCGATTTTTTGCTATTCACTTGTAAAGTTCCTTGAATCTTCTGCAGGCTTCCTAAACATTTTCCCTGTGACCAAAGGCACTGACCCTAATGAAACCTTCACCAGCAGGTCCAAAGCCACTTCCAGGTGTTGTGACCACATGTGTCTTCTCAAGTATCTCACTAAATACATCCCATGAGCTTCGGCCAGGGAAATGAACCCACAAGCATGGTGCATTTGTACCCCCACACACATCAAATCCGAGTGAGTTAAATGAGTCCACTATTATCTTGGTATTTTCTTTGTAGAATCCGACCACCTCTTGCATAGCCTACAAGTAACATGATAACCCTATAGGTGCTGGCTTTAAACTATAATATCTGATAAGTTCGAAATTAAAAACCTATTGGCATGACTCAGATCTTAAATCTTTTTGAGTACTTTGAAAATTAAAAACTAATGGAAGTATGCCGACCTCTAGACCATCAAGCACCTCTAGACCATCAGGCGAAAGACAAGCCAAACCACCAGCTTGGGGAACACTAGATGCACCATTGAAGCAAGTACAAACAATACGGTTGAAGTCCTTTGCTACAGGAATCCATCTGAAAACAAGAGCTGTTTAGGAACAACAGTCCAAACAAGCCGAACTCCAGTGAACCCAGCATACTTGCTGAAAGAAGATGTTTCAATTGCAACCTGCAATACAGATAGGAAATTTATAAGTCACACCCTGATCATTCAATACCATATATTTGGCATACAAGAATGTGAACGAAAAAATAACAAGCTATGGCTCTTTCCCAAATGGATTGCAAAAAGCTTCTGGAAACTCATACCAAAACAAGGTCCCTGCAGTTATCTAGATCTATTACTCAGTAGATCTCCAATAAATGATTAACAACAATGGAACTTAGCTATCATCATTAACAGGAGTATTACCTCTTTTGCTCCAGGAATTTCAAAGATAGTGTGTGGGTTATCATCTGACATGTACATAGCATATGCAGAATCGAACACAATAATAGATCCATTGTCCTTAGCAAACTTAACTAATTGAGTCAGTTGCTCCCTGGTGGCAACTGCACCAGTAGGATTGTTTGGAGAACAGAAAAATATAATATCTGTTCTAGCAACAGTGGATAAATAAGGGAAGAATCCATTCTCTGGAGAACACATCATATACTCAATTTTTCCATACTTCTCGACATCCTTCTGAAAATGTCCAGTCTGACCCATAATAACACTGGAGTCTACATAAGCCTACATGCGGAGAAAGAAAGTCAATAGAAAATAGAAAGTTAAAAACAAACACAAAAAATGCAATTACTTTACATAGCTATCTATTTTCTTTCTTCTCCCTCAACTGATTTTTATTTTTCTAAATAAAATTCTTCTAACTAGAATAAATACATTACCGGGTAAGATGGATCTTGCACTGCCATCGTAACATCAGATCCGAAGAGAAGCTGCACCAAGGTAAAACAAAATTTTCCTAGATAATCAGGCAGACAATTTAACAAAAACAAAATCAGCTTTAGAAGGCAAATCACCTTCACATGCACAAATCCAAAATGGAAACAGTACAAATAAATCAAACCTGAAGGCGGGAGATATCACATTTAGCACCATCAGAGACAAATATATCATCTTCCTCTATACCAAGGTTACTGCAAAATGCTGAAGCAATCGCAGATCTCAATGGCTGCCAATTTTAACAATTTTCCAGTATTTCTAAGATCCAAAACTAGATGGCAGCTTATAAAATATAAGCACGCAAGGTATCTCAGGCTAACTATAGAATCTCATCCAGATGTGGTTGAGTTAATCATAATTTTAAATGAACTAAAAATCTATACTAACCATTAGTAACAAAAACTCCCACTTACTTTTTCACCTTGTTCAGCTCCATACCCACTGTAACCTTCTAGTGTAGACAATCCATGACATCTCTACCAGAGTAGAAGTTCAAATAGCCAGTTAAGACACTAAAAATCAACATTTCTGAATGAAGTTTGATCTTAGCAAATGAAACTCATTCTCAACTTGAAAATACATAATCATGGCTGTGAGCAAAGATTAGTCCTTGAAAAGAGAAATGAATTGGGAGGAAGTGCCTTTGCCATTGCAGAAGTTATAACCTCTGGAATGGGTTCAGTAGTGTCACCAATTCCAAGGCTTATCACTTGTGCATTAGGGTACTTCAGCAAGTGTGCAGTCCTTCTTCTGGCAATCTAGTCTCCAGTAATATTTAGAAAATAAAAAAAAAATGAGAAAAGAAACATCAAAACCGTGAAATCACTTGTCTACCAAGTTTGAAGAAGTTACTGGACTAAATTGACAAAGCAACATCAGAGAGAAAAAATATGAGCGATGCTGCTCGGTACGCACACCAAATAATTTGACAAAATAAATAAGGATGTTTAGAAGATTGTCTTGGTCATTCTTGGAGCAACCATTGCATAAATCAACATTTTTTAGGTAGTAGCATCAATCAGCAAAAAGTGAACCGTTTAAAACATATTTCCCAATTAGACTAATTGCAGCTAGTTACATTGCAGTTGGTTTCCTCAGCCTGAAGAAGTGGTAACACAACATAAGTTGCCCCCTAATCCCAAATGCAATTGAACTGAGGATCTAAAACCAGAGGTAACTCTGAGATGAGAAATCCTATCCTTTCATCAACAATGGCACACTAGCATATTCCTCGAAAAGTAAAATATGGTCTCCAAAACCATCTGGCACTAACACAAACATAGCAAATAATGAAAGATACTGACCTCTGGAAACAAGTAGCCCGCTTGAAGCTTGGCCATATTTGCATTGCGAGAGACATTCGTTGTGTAAGCTTCACAACCAAAAGCAGCCGTTATAATAGTTTTAATGCCTCATATAATTGATACAACTTTCAGAATAAATCTTAAAAAGGGTATTCAAAAATCCTTTCACTCTCATAATTATAAAGCAGGCACTATTTTCACCAATGGCAGGCTCGTAGAAGGTAGAGATATAAAAAAGATACCAGTTTGCTCCTGTTGAGGAGTAGCAACACATTCAATAACACCGATTCTCTTTGTTGGAACAGAAACACTCTCAGCTCTGCAACATAAAATGAAAATGAATTAAACTGAACGTTCCAAACTTTATAAGAAAACGTATAAAATAAAACAAGATAAAAGAAGCTGAACCATGTTCTATACTTTCTGCAATCAAAAGCAGGGAGAAGAAAATAGAAAAACATTACCTTGAACTGAAACTGGTTGGGACTAATTAAGAAAGCCGATGACGATGAAGACATCTTTGAAGTGCAGAGATTGTTCATGTTCATCACAGACAATTTTGTTCGATTTTCTATCAATTTTGAGGAACAGATACCTCGAAGTGCTGCGAAGACGATAGAGACAGCAACAGTCGTAACACGTGTGGGAGATAGAGAAGTACAAATGAGTAAGTAAAACCCTAGCAGTAGCTGTAGCTCGGGCAGTCAAAAAAGTAAGAATAATGATAAAAGGGCGATTTAGAAGGGAATAATGACCTAACATAGCTAATTCTTTAATGTATAAAAAAAATGTGTATAGTGTAAATTATATTTTTTTTAAAAATTAATAAAAAATTAAAAAATTATTTTAAAATTATGTAATTTTAATAAAATATTAAAAAATAAAAAAATTTTAATTGATACTTTAAAAATAAAATATTTTAATTTTTTAATAAAAATTTATTAAAATAATATAATTTTTAAATAATTCTTTTCATAATTATTAAAAATTAAAGAAAATAAATACTATCCTCGTGACTAAATTATTTAAATAATAGTTTTGCTTTATATTTTAATTTTATTAAAATTAAATATCATATATATCAATTCAAATTAATTTAATGATATATCTAATCCAAACTTTTTATAATTAATTTAAATTTAAGAGGTGATATAATCAAAATCTAAATAATTTAGTAGTAATTTTTTTTCGTTAAAAATAAGAGATTTTAAATTCAAATTGTATAACATATAAATGAAATGGAATAAGAGATGAGAAAAAATTACTTCTTATTATATAATTAATATAAAAAAATTTAAAAGGTGATATAAAGATAATTTTTTAATATTTTTTAATATAAATTTATATATTATTAAATAAAAAATATTTGATATTATAAATTTTAAATAAATAAATAAATAAATTTAATACATAAAATTATATAAAAAAATTATATAAAAAATTATTCTCAAATCATTTTTACTTACCACAGTACCACTAGACTCAGAAGGTAATTTCGCACGTGTTAAGTTACATAATATGGGTCCCAGCATAAAAAGTTACCACCACATAATGTGGGACCCACAATTGTCCGGAAGTCTGACGGGTTACCACTTACCACCGCCTTTTTGTTGTTCTTTGCAATTGTAAGTTTGTAACCGCGTTGGCTAGCACCCGGGAGTTGAGGCTATTAGGGTTTTCGATTCGGGGCTGTGTGATTTCTTGGTGCAATTTAGTTCGATCTTTGCTTCTCACAGCTCTATCAATTCTTCGATCAATTGGAGGTATGTTTCTTTTTTATTTTTAAGTTGTCTTTTTTGGTTTATTGAAAATCCACGGATGGGAAACGAGTGGGGAATTTTTCAATCTCGAATTTCGGTTTCTTTGAGATTTCTTCAATCAAAAGGGTTTTAATTTCCGTTTGCAAGTTCAGTTTTTGGGTGTGTTCCGGAATTCGAAAATTCCTCGAATAGTTGACGACGCGAAGGAACGTAAATTTTGATTCTTGCTTAGTCTGTGTATGGGGACAAGAACAGAAGAATTAGACTTTTCAAATTCATAATCTTGGATGCTTTTCCTGCATTTTAAAGGAGTGTTATTTGAATTTCGGACATTTGATATCAAATTTTTTAGATCTACCTTTAGCAGAAATGGATTTTGTACAGAAACTATGTATACTAACGCATGAACTGGTTTGCACAGTGAGATGGATCTGGAGACAGAAAACAGAATTGCTGCTATTCTTTTGAAAGAAGCGGCTGAACTTCGGAGACAGGCAGATAGAGATGGTGTTGGTGTTTATCTTCAGAAACCTAATGTGAGGGGTCGGCCAAATTCACGGTTCCTAACTGCAACCGTTCTTGGTGTGCAACAAGGTTTGTTCTTTTATTCCTTGTGCTTTATACATATGCAGTTGCAAATCATGAATCTTGGCATTGTCATGTCATCTAGAGGAAGGATAGGATAGGATTTTCCTCAAGGTCATTCATACCTTGCTTTTTCATTTATGGTGTGATGTATGATTCCAGTGGTCTAATTCTGCCAGGGTATGATATAGTTCACTTCAAAATTCATCCCCTTTGTGGTGGACATTTTATAGGGATGGTGTGGCCAAAGTAAAAGGCTGCAAAAGATTTTAAAAAATAAAAAATGGGTGACTTCGAAAAACCTGATAATTTAATTTTAGTTGCTGTAATGATAGGCAGAACGTAGACTGATGTATCTTTTGAATTTACTTCTCATTTCATTTTGATTCACACGCAGAAATTAATAGGTTATTTCTACTAGTCAGTGTTTGTCTATTTTTCTTTATGTATTTTATCTTCTCTAATCACTTCCCCTTTAAAGTGGAAAGCAATTCTGTGGTTTGCGTAGATATCCTTTCATGAGTGCTGTATTTCACCTATGGTTTAACGCTAGAGACGCAGCCTTATTATGCCTGTTCATTGTCCTCACAATTCTTTCAGCGAATCGAGCTGTGGAAGTGAATGAGATGTGGCGAGTCCGACAAAAGGAGCTAGAATTAAATGATAGAGTCAAAAAGAGATCAAAAGATGTTAGTGGCAGTGGCAGGAACCATAGGGATATTGACAACTCTGCTAGAAGCACAAGTAAGAGGCATGATGACAACGCCAGTACTTCATACATATCTAGCAAAAGAGTGATGGAGAATTGTTATTCAAGGAAAGATGAAGGATTAAGAGACAAAGAGGTTGAGGAATTTCTGCACTCGAGGTATGTCCGCTGTTCTCTACTCATCTCTCACTTTCTATCACTTACATCTCTCTGTGTGGTTCTGCCTGGCTATATTTGTTGCCAAATCCTCACTAATAAATTCCCTGCCTGACCGTATGTCGTGTTTAATTTTTATCTATGGACTTTGTTGATGAGAAATAGTTTTGTGGTTTGACATGAATGTTTGTTGTTATGGCAGGACCAAGCGTGGCCGAGGTTCTGTAGGTTCTAGGATGGATGAAACAGGGCCTTACCTTCCCACTAGTTCTGACTCACCAAGGAGACTTTCACCAACCCCTGTTGCCAAGGAACGGCATGTTATGCTTGGTCCAGAGAAACCTTCATCACTGAGGTTCCATGATTCTTCTTCTGATGAGGAGCTCGCTGAGAAGCCTTCATCGTGGAAGTCTCACTCTCATGGACTATCATCATCTGATGAGGAGCTTCATAAGCATCGGAGTAAGAAGAGAAAGAAAGTCCACTCAAGCTCAGACAAGAAGAGCTCCAGGAAGCACAAATTGAAAGAGAAATCTAGAGTTAAGAAAAAGAAGAGGAAGGAGGAGAGAAGAAAGTAAAAGTTGCTAATAGGACTGTTCTGTTTTACAGGTTCTTTCACACAAGCAGACATAAAAAGTGAATCTCAAGTGAACCGTATGCTAATTGTATTGGGTGTACAAATGCATTTTCTCCTTTCATTGATATATAATTTGAGGCATAGGATAATTGCCAGATGCAATTGACCTGTCTTGTTATGTTTCTTTTGACGGCTAATCCTTGGAACTCAAGGACACAAAGGTATGAGCTTATAGACCAGATCGTGTTCAAGTAAGGTCGTCTTTGAAATGTTAATCCTTTTTCCTTTTCTATATTTTGCGAAGGATAATCCTATGGCATATTAGAACAACCATTCGAAGATTCAAAATAGATGGGCGCAGGCAAGCTTTAAGTCATATGCTTGATCGCACATGTTGAGTGAACAATTTACAGAACGTAGCTACCACAACAGTCTGATTTATTTTGGGAAAGTGGTGGTGCAGGAAAACCAGATTGTATGCCCATCCAGCCTTGTACCAGGCCAATGTTGGAAGTGTTCTCTTATAACTCAAGAAAAAATTAATTTTGAAGTATGCAAAAAAAAAAAAGCATGATTGTTATACAATGTCAAAATGGTATATTAAAAATTGAAAAAGATGACAGATACATGTATTATGTTGGAAAAATGTTTATGACAGCACTATGTAGTCTTGTAGGGCAGTTCTCTTTCATTTCCATCAACTTTGCTTACAAGTTTCAATTGTCTCCGAGAACCCAAAAGGCGAAAAGAGTGGCACAAAACATAATACAGCATTTAACTACCAGTCCACGGCTTACATTTGTGTATAACCAGCTCTCGGACTTGACAATAAGCTATAGGAAAAGCACATGCTAGGACACTACGGGTACACACAACAAAATAACAAATTTTTCATGATAATCTCTATGGCAGAAATCTATACTTTTTAAAAAGGCCGATGTCAAGAGTCCTCAAAATGATGATCTGTTTCATCAAAGATCTCCTCCTAAAGGTGGTCACAAAAATCGAAATCTGTGAGAAACTAATGATGAAAATTATATTAGTGGGAGGGAATTCGCAACAAGTTAAATGTGGCACCTTTAAGAGCTCTTCAATCACATCTTCCATTGTTATTATTCCAACAGCTTTCTCTTCTTCAGGCAGTGTTGGAAGTGGACTGTCGTTTATCTCTAGAATATCTGAGTTCAGGTCCTTAGTCCACTTTTTATCACGCTTATATGACTGACTCCCTGCTGGGGAGCTCTTCCCCTTCCTAAGTGATCTTTTAGTTTTCAAACTCTTCTCTTGGGGAGGTTTATCACCCTCAATATCAACTCTCACCTCTGTTGTTGGATCTAATTTTAAGGGATATAGAGGTAAGCAGTTGTTATCAAAAGAACTCCAGTGATAACAAAATATAATCATTATAGTACAGCTTGTACTGATGGCCAAAGAACTTATCGGAGAATTTAAACTGCACAGGATGAAACAGTAAACAGTTGGTGCTTACTGTCAGCTAAGTCAACAGAAGGCTGCTGCTCTGTCTTGTTGCACTGCTCCACAACAACAGCCAGGTGACTATGACCCTTCTGAAACTCGTTCAGAATGTCATATAATGGTAATGTTTCTAGAACCCTAAAACAAACGGGCAGAGTTTAGTACCAGAAACTGAGTGTTTGGTAGAAGTAAAAATGTGAACTTCCAATATCTCAGAGTGCATTTGGCTTAAAGTACCTTGGAATCCTTCGTATAGTGATGTTTTTCACTGGTACTTCATCTTCAGGGTGAATTGTCAACAAATTCTTGACCTGAATGACAATATAAAGTGTTTTAAGTAATAAGCAAGCAAATCCAAAAATATAAAGATTGAATCAAAGGGCACTCTTCTTCTTCTTCTTCTTCTTTTTTTTTTTGCCAAGTACAGTGCTCACTGGAATGGAATATCTTATGCAAAGTAGGGAATCAATAAATTTCACTTCTATTGAACCTTGGGCCATGGATGAGCTTTTCTCATAATTAAGCAAATGCATTGGTTGTATATAGTTAACAATTTTACAAACATTAGACCAACCAAAGTTTTAGTTTTTCATTGTAGCACAAGAAGTCTTTATTAAATGCAAATTTTTATTAATTAGGATCTAACCACTTTTTATATTTCAGGAGAGGAAGTACTTTGATAAAGAAAAACAAATAAATAAAAGAATAAAAAGATAACTGGAAGCTGGCAGATAGGAACAGAAAATAAGCATTTAACTAAAGCAACCTTCAGGCAAAAAAAAAAAAAAAAAGCTTATAAGAGCATCAATTTATACACAAAAATAAACTGAAATAAAATTGTTGTTTAGCTTTAACAATGCTCAAGATAATCGATCAGAATTTACCAGAATCAGTCCAATTATGTTTGTTGGCTGCTCATAATAAACTGGAACTCTGCTATGCCCTTTCTCCAATATTAAACTCATCAAACCCCTGCCCGTAGAAAGAATGCAATTCAGGCAAAGTATATGGCAATTTAGGAGGAGTTGCAAATACATTTTAAATATGTCATACTTGTCAAGTTTGGAGTTAATATCAATTGCAAAAGTTTCAGATATCAGAGTCATAGCATCTTTAGCAGTTTTCTCCGAGAGCTCAAGTGCTCCAGCAATAATTGTTGTCTCATCATGAGTCAGTTCTCCACCTTTTCCAGCCTAATGAATTTTAAATTTTAAGTAGAAGGGACATAAAGCTTAAATCTCTAACAAAACAGAGCAAGAGGTATACAAATAGGGAAGCAAGAACTCCAGAGAAACGAGTCAAACATTAATTATTGAACCAGTCCCCAGAGATACAGATTAGAAAAAGAATCATAAACCATATATGTTAGAATTGCATAAAATAAGAAACTATTACACACACCTCGTCACCATGCAAGTCTACAAGTGTTTTCAACTCAGCTCTGCGAAATAGAGCAACGCGATGTCCCAGCAGAAAGTCTAACAGCTGGACAAGCACAAAAAATATTTGGCAAGAATTGAAAAGTTAGATTGCTGTGCCTCACTAATAAAGAGAAGCTCAATGATAAGTGTTAAACCTACATTTATTACCTTGCTTATTGGATAGGCAACAGGAAAACATATCCAGACAAGAACACGGACAATTGGAACCACTGCTGCCCCAATTGTCAAACCATATCGACAACAAATAGATTGGGGTATTATCTGCAGAGAAAACAAAACAATTAGCATAAAGAATGTTTTGCCCTACTGCCAGCTATATGCCTACATATAATTGTCCACTCCAACAAGCAGTTTTCATGTGAGAAAGGTGGACCAGTTTTTCTCAAACCAACCAACCCATCCTTCAGAAATTGTAGCTTGGCTGAAATTTTCAAAAAGTAATGTTTGAGTAGCATATCAAAACAAGGCAGAGGAAACAAACTTTGACATACATGATCATGATTCCCACAAATGCATCTGACTGCACTGATTATCTATATCTCCAATTCAAGAAATAATCTGAGATCGAGTCTTACCTCACCAAACAGAAGAATCAGAGTCACTGAAATGAGAATAGCTCCCCAAGCTGTAACCAGAGAATCGAGAAAAATGGGAAGTGCCTGACAAAAGAAACAACAATTCCAAACATCAAAGAAATGATAAGATTTGTAACATAAAAACAGATAACAAGTTCAGACTTGCAATCAGTCCTTACCTCCATTGCAGCAGCATTGCATATAAGCAGCGTACATAGCAACAAATGTTGATTTTTGACAACCGGCAATATCTTGGCTGTTGCAGCAAGGTGTCATAGTAAATCCACAGAAAGTGATGTAATCTCAAATGTTATTAGGTTGTAGTCTCATAGACTTGTAGCAAATAAATAGATTTTGAGCAAGAAAAACAAGAAAACTGCTGTAGTGCAAGATTTTTTTAGGGAAATGATATTTCTACAACCTTTTTGTCCCACCTTTTCATACAACCTGACGTGTCATTAAAATGATTGATTATTTTAATTTATATGAGACCCATGATATTGAATGCATTCACTCATTTAATAACAAGTGAAAATTGTATAAAAAGGTAGGAAAAATGTTGTCCCAACAGTACCACCCATTTTTTTACCAGTTCTAGAAAAATGAAAATCAAGACTTCCCCGCTATTTAAAATGTCAAGACTGCCTATGAAATTGTTCAAAAACCCTAAATGAATCTTCCTCAGACGTTAATTCATTGAGGGTATTTAAGTATTTCCCTAATTTCTTAGAATAAATATATATATTTTTTGAACAATTTGTCATTATTTACAGGTATATATGGGGAGGGGGAAATGAGTTCTATGGGGCTCGAACACGCCACCCACGGAGTGAACAGCCCTAACCCCCAGGTCCAATGCCACCAGGCTGGAAAGGGTCATTCCTCAGGATAAATACATTTGAATCAAAATCAGCGAGGATTTGAATAACAAAATCTACACCATTCATGATGCTATTCATTTACTCACAAAATTCAAGTAAAACGATACCAAATAAGCAAAACACCAACGTAGAAATTTAATTTTCCTTTTTTTTTTTTTTGGTTTGGATCACCAGTATTGGAAGCACACTGCACTACCGATTAATCCGAATTCGAATCGAACAAGACGCAACGGACAGCAAAACTCTCCCTCACACGAGTTTTAACGGAACTGCATTACCGATGCTTAAAACTAAGAATTCTGGTTAAGTTAGAAGAGTCCTGCCAACTCATCCACTAGCTTGTGGGTGAAATTTAATTTTCTTTGATAAATTTATTCAGCAATAAAGGGCAAAGCATAAAATTCAAAGCAAAAAGCGAAAATAGTAACCGAACTCCATATTTCCCGGCATCTTTCCAGAAAATGGATTACAGGCTAACTGACTAAGAAATTGAATCAAACTAAGAATGCGATTGCAAACCAAAACGCAGAAACAAGAAATCAAGGAGTTACCGGCATGTTTTCTGTCCTTGGGAGTACCAGACTGGGCAAGCACCTCGAGATCAACAAGACTCATGGACATGAGTCCGAGAGTGAGGCCAGACATCAAACCGGCGAACAACACGAGCAAAACTATAATTACTATGTTGATGAAGAATTCGGTCTCGCAACATCTATGCTCCACAGACATCCTAATAATCCTCTCTCCTTTCCTCTCCTCCCGCAAGCAGGGGCACTTCGGAAACTAATCAGGGAAACCGACTTTCTTTCAGCTATCGTTAGAGAAACGACCACCGGAGGTGGATATCATCCATTCCCGAATATACCGTCGGAGCAAATTGAAGAAATAAAGAGAAGGGATGAGTAGGCGCAACGAGAAAAAGAGCAAATTTCTGCCTTTTCAGCGAGAAAATACAAAACCGCGAGAAAAAGGCAAAGTTCGCTTACGTACTTGTTTACACTTTTACATTGCGATTTTCCCTGGTGTACCG